TTATAAATAATAATTAATACTAAACTATTACAACATATATCCTATATCTAATGGATACTTCAAAGTGAATAAGTTAGCATCCCTCATTGAAATTTTACCATGCATACAACCATGGGGCAGGAAGGGTAAAGAGCTAAATTTCACAGACTAGCAAGGAAGAAAGGCAAGTGATACACTAGTGAAACAAATGACAATGTTTGCTTCACAATGCTCTGTTACTCTTGAACTAAATGTTCCGAAGTTACACGATATATTTTTTTAGCTTCACAGTTGTACCTGTTTCATCTTCTAATATTATTTTCAAAGGAAAAAAGAACTACCCCACCTCTATACCTGTTTGCATCCCATAAATCTTGTTCTACCTGCACAAAGTTTTAATTGCCTAGAAAGGGAGAGGAAGGCTAGTTACTGTTGAGGCTCTGAGCTGCTCTGGCACTCATGCAAATTAAACTTTTCATTACAAAAAGTCTTACAGCATGCAACTAGCATGAATACTCTCCTCCTGTATTAACTAATTGAACCCAGTTATGACCTTGTAAGTTCTCATTTCCAGAATAGTCATTACTTTTTTAGGTAATGACTTTCTTTCAATCCAATTTGATGCAAACATACTATAATACTGCATACAACTACTGCCCGATTTGAACCCTACTCTTTAGAAATTTACATCTCTAGTTTTCACCATACCTTCATCTATTGACCTCAAGATTGAAACCTCTTTTCTATGTATTGTAAAGCTTCATGTTTTTCTATATAGTACAAGATTTTTTTTTCTTAAAGCTGCTATATTCTCAGCCTTGACAATTGGGGAACTTTGGCAAAAGAAATATCTTCATGGATAAAAATGAAAACATGCATCCACAACAGTCAGGCTACCAAACTTACTTATCTATTTTATTTGAACTTTTTAAAGAGGAAAAGAACCCCATGTATATGCATTGCAGAATACAGTAATAGTAAAATAGTAAAAGATCCCAATGCTTCTTTGACTAAATTTAATCTTGGTTTAACAAAAAAAGGACAGAAAAAACAAATAAAGCTAACAATTTCTAACTATTTAGTAACAGCAAGCTCCTATGCTCATTAAGTGGTTTTATTTGCTTACCTAGACGAAGAGATTGTCGCAGAATTCCTCCTGATGACATATTTTTCTCAGACTCAATTTCAGTGAAACCAAGAGAGCTTGCAAAAATTAGCACATCCACAAGGTTGATTAATCTCTGTAGAAATGTTAAAGATGCTTCTACTGAAAGTCCTTGAGTTGGCTCAATATTCTCCAATTCATGCTACACAGAGAAAAATTGAAAGCAACATTTACTTCCTCACAAAGGTGGTATTTCTATAATTTAAATGAAGAAAAATGTATGCTGGAAGTCCATTTTCAGTCACATTCGAAAGTAGTAATTAGTCATACTCTAGGAACAATCATTAGTATTGGGATTTAATCCCCTTCCGGACCATCGTGGGACAATGAAGCTAGGCAACTTCTTTTTATGTGTTCAGGCAAAGAGGGCAGGCACCCGATTTGTCTTGGGGAAAGCATGGAGGTAGCAAAGGGAGGAGAGAGATGCTTGTGGAAATATCCCACACGCATTCCTGTCTCCCGAAAGGACAGATATAATAGTTAATTATAAGAAAGGCATCCTCCCACAAGAGATAGATTTTCAAAAAAAAATGAATTTTCTTACAGTAGCGGATGTGGCAGCAGAAAGCAATGGCAATATACCACCACAAGCCATGATCATGTTGTCCATCACTTGAGAGATGAGGTGAATTGTGTTGTGCACAAATATGACATTGTCACTGCTATTCACAAAGTCCATCACAGTTTTTGTAGAATGGCTGTCCAAAAAAACCATTCAGAATACAGCTTTAGTTTTGTGGCATTTTAGCATCTTTATGCTTTCATAAAACTAAAACCAGACAGTTAGCAGTGGGGCAGCAAATATCACATGACCCTAAGGGTCAACTGATGTATCTTAATCTAAATCTAAAACTACCGTTTCTTTCTGTTCTTAAACCTCTCCAGATCATAGCTTGTTAAAAACATCGAGATGTGTGTTAATCATCATTTGGACGAAGATATATTATAGGCTGGTCTACGATTACTTGCTATAGAAAAAGTCACTGTATCAGGCAATACAACAAAGTTTCCTGGAAGTGTGAACTAGATTTGAACTTAAATCTTTGGAAAAATAAAGCAAATACTACAGGCTTCTCAGAGAAACTAAAAATCAACAAAACACAAAAACTTAAATCCTGTTAAACATGGAAGTAGATTTTCAAAACAGAACCTAAACTAAAAATATATTTTAGCTACATCTGATGATCTCCTGAGAGGCTAATTTATTCACATCCTAAAAATTATAGTCAGACAAAAATTCTCCTCAGTTTAAATTGTTTTAATCATTTAAATACTCTATTTCTTCATCCTTACATTCCTTTTGATGGGGTCAGTACAGCTATGGTTGAATTTAAATTTGACATTCGCTACTACAAGCTAATAATAGACACCACTCTTATTTAAGTTATTTAATTTTAACCTTAAAATGCAGAATTACCACTGTTTTCAAAGTTTCCATTTTTACTAAATTCATCTTGATGATTACATTCCAGATCCCTGTTACAAGTTAATTTTTAAATGCCTAGAACATCTGTGTTCACAGAACCCTATCAAAGCAGCCACATAGTGTGTGTAAATGCAGAAGTAATAAATACTAATTGGGACAGATTTTTTTTTTTTTTAGTCCATATTTAGATACTAATAAAAGATTCAGGACTCTACATACATTAGGAACATGAAAATCATGGTCCAATAAAAATCAACAGCAAGACTGCCATTGACTTAAATGTAGCCAGGATTTCAGTCAAAATATATGTGCAGGCCCTCAACCAATACACATGTCTGTAAAGAGTCTTAAAAAAAATCTGAGAATATTTGGGTATAGGTCACAAAATAAGTAAGGCTATTGAATAAGTAAAATACCAGATGTGCAAAATTCAAAGTCAAACAGTGACTCTGATGCAGTTTCAACAAAATCTCAAGTTAATTATAATTGAAATGCCAGTCTAGATCATTCCATATAAAGCATAGAAATTTACCTTCTCCACATCTGTATATCTGTTTCTATGGAAAAGAGTAAGTCTGTGAGCAAGCGCTGATGCATCAGTGACCACTTAAACTCAGGAATACGGAACACAGTTGACCTAGAGTCTCTTCTCTGCCCATCTGATGTAGCAGTTAGCTCTTGTCCTGAAGAATCTTGCTGCCTTGAGGTCTGAATACACAGTTTGCAGATAAAAAAACAACCCCACACTCTGATTATTAGTTTCCATGGCATACACTGAAATGCATTTAATAGATGAGATTTTAGATATTCAATGAGTTTAGACTGTGTACACGGTTACAAATAAAGCTAAAACTATTACACAAATGCTATTTCCTGGATATACCAAACCTACGAACTAGTCTACAGCTGCACTACCACACCTGTCAGTCTAGGCATACACAAGCAGCAACCCAACCTTACCACAGGGGGAGTATATGTTGCTGTAGACAGTGTTTTTCCTCCTTTAAGGAAGAATGGTGCAGAATGAAGAGCATCCATTAGCAGGTATCTCTGCAGAAGGGAAGTACTCAGATACATGACCATTTAACCATGAAAAGCTGAGTTAGAAACTAAAGACTAGAGGGGTGGAGCACTGCAGCATGCAACAGAAGCCCAGTTTTAAATTACAATTGCACAAAAAAGGTAGACAATCCTATCAAATTTTATAGTTTCAAATATATATATTTTGGTTTTTTTGGTACCTCATGCAAAGTAGCTAGAGTAAAAAACATTTTCACAAGTTCCATCAGGATGTGAAAGAAACTTAGTGCTATTATTTTCTGCACAAGCAATGTTCTCTATAATTATAAGAGTTGAGATTATACGAGACCAGATTGAAAAGAGGAAAAGGGAGGTTGAGTAAGGGAGCAGAAGAAATTCTAGATAAAATCCTCTCAAAATATATAAATGTTTCTTTCAATTCTTCAAACTTAACAACAGAAGTACCAACACAGATGAAGTATCCATCTAGCCAAATACTTAGTCTCCATCAGTATCCGTAAGTGGATGTATAAAGAATAAAATCTTAGAGACTTCTCAGTACACAAATTTCAAAATGTGTATGGGCATACTTTTTCAAAAATCTCATAAAATAAGAACTTCCTTTTATTTTTAAGCTAGATGGATGAAGAATAGGTAGAATTTACCTCAGGTATGGATCTGGGGGGAAGAGGTGCTTCTAGACATGTGTTAGCTTTCAGTTCCAGTTTTTCTGTATCTGATGCAACACTAGAAACATCAAGCTTGGCAATTCTTTTGTCAGAGGCTCCAGCAGGCTCTGATACATGTGCATTTGCATTTTCTTCAGCTGTTTTGGTTTCACTAAAAAGAATCTTTTCTTCCTCCAGCTTCTTTTTCCCTTCTGAATCCGGTTGAGTCACTACTTCTTGAACTGCAGAACTCACTGTTTCCGGTAAAGAAGTCAGTTCTTGTTTTTTCCCATCCACACCTTCAGTATCTTCGGATTTTAAAAGCACAGATTCAGGTTGCTTCTCTACTGCTTTTTCCTGCTTTGTCACTTTGCTTTCATTACAGCTACGTTCCTTGTTCGTTTCTGCAAACTCTTCTGAAGGTAAAGACATACTACTTTCCTCTTTCAAATCAACAAAGTCATCTTCATCTTCCACCTCTACTGTTGATTTTTCCAGTCTTCCTGGACTTTCAGGAGTTTCTCTTTCCAAAGTAGTTTCCATTGCTAAAGAAGCAGTAGTGACAGCTACTGTTTCTTCCACAAGTTCGTCAGCTTTGCTCAGAGAATCTTCAATTGCTTCAGCTATTCCAGTACTAATTTCTGAAACACTGGGCTTTATTGCTTCTGGTTCTGGAGAAAATTCTGCACAAGACACTGCTTTTAAACCCTCTGTAGTCTCCCTGTCTCCCCCCTCTAACTCCTCCCTATACTTAGACACTGAATGAGTTTGTTGTTCAACATCTGATACGGTATTTGTCTCTTTTTTTTCAGTACTGCACTCCATATCATCAATAATGCAGGAAGGAGCAGTAGCATCTTCTTTTAAGTCCAAACATTGTTGCTTTCCCTCGGTTTCAGCTTCTTTGGTAACTCCAGAGATTGTTCTAATTGGAGTTGAAGAACATATTCCACTCCCTTCACCTCCTTTCCCTTGGTACTCCCTGTACATTTGAGAAAGACTCTCTTTGTGCATTTCAAAAGTTACCTAAAAGAACAGAGTTGAAAGCACATTAAAAATTATTTATTAATGACTTTTCTCTCAAAAAAACCAAAATCATTGCCCAAATCACAAAGTTATACTACAAATTTATATTGGATACTGTCCTCATGATAAAAAAATAATTTCAAATTGGAGATCACTTCAACTGAGAGGAAGTTGAGCGTACCTGTTATTCCTGGCCAAAAGAAAGAAAAGAAAAAAAAAAAGTAACACCAGAGTAAAAAAATCCTAGACTGATCCTAAGGACAGGAAATTAAATGTTTACTAGAAGTACTCAGAGTTTTAAAGACTATTTCTAGTAAAAGAAGTGAAAATGTTTAAAGTTTAATATTTATAGTTAACACTTCCATTATTTCCTAGGCTAATTACAGTCATCTGTAAATAGAGTTATCTGTGCTACGTGCATTCATGTAACTGTATAGGATGCAGACAAAAATGCAACAGCGTAACATCCAGAGAATTACTAAATTTGAGATAGCTGACAATTTTTTTGTAAGGGGGGACACTGTGACAAGTAGCAGAGGCACTTACTGTAGCTGACCTTTCACATCATTTTAGCACCTTGAGTATGCTCAACAATCCACAAAGATAAATAAACTTTTGAGAAATTTACATTAAAAAAAATACAATGCCACAAAGTCAGAGCAGAGAGGAGCATGTAACAAAGCCAAAATCCTGGGAATCTCCAAATGATACCTAAAATTCTCCAGAGGACTTTTCCTCTGGTGAATGCTATTCACCCAGTCTAAAAGGCACGAGAACAGCTACACAATCTGATTAAAGTGAGAAGACCTTCCTATGGATGAGCTGAAAAAAAATTACTATTGTTTTTAGGTATATAAAAGAAGATTCCAGATAGAAAAATTCTTTATATACATACTGATAAAACTAATTTGCCCAAATAAATAGCTGTGTGTTGAAAGAAAATCTCACTAGACTAACTGAAGTTATTATTACACTGTCATTCAATTTAGTTTATCCATACCTTTCTACGTAGGATTTAGATTTATCTTCTATAACAGAAGTGTTTATTTATCTGTAAGCTTAGTTCTCAAAATTTTCTCAACATACAAGCTGCAGCTGAGGGGTTTATTTTTTTTTAAACCATTTTCTTTATCTTAAACATTTTCCATAGACAAACCAGAGCAGTACATTTTACTAAATATATGAATGCACATTTTCTTATTCTCTTAAATACTGTACTCATTCATTTGGATCTCATCTAAAAATTACATCTACATGGTATTCAAAGTGATGATTAGTCAGTAGGAATATTTTCTCTTAAGACGATACATGTAAGTCAAAAACTAACTTGACATGTTAAAAAGGTACTAGAAATTATAGTTACAAATCAGAGAGGAGCAAAGAAGGAACAAAGGTAAAAAGGAATATTCTTGGCAGGTTGTGTTGTCAACATTAGCTTTTTAACATACTAATTTCTCCATCAATCAAATATAAATTAAAGTACTGTAGGAGCAGTGTACTATTCTAACACGACCTGAGCATGTTATTTGTTCAAGTTGATTTAATTGAAACTTGAGTTTCTAGCAATAGAACTGGGATACTTCCTCCTCCTATTCTAAAAAAAACCAAAGTCTTCCTGTACTAGTTTTAAATCAGTTATGTACAAACAAAAAAGTGTGAATGATTACAAATGACTGAAAGTTCATCCATCTGCCACAATGGATCTATAAAATATTTGATTATAGGGTATTGCTAAACAGAGTGTGTGAGGGGCATTATTATTTTAGAAATACTTCCTTCCTGAACTGTACTACAGCCAGGATGTCAAAAGCAACCCAAAATAGATCATGCTAATAAGCTCCCCCTTGCACTTTTAATTTGTTTTCAAAAACATGATTAGGCAAAGCTGCTACTTCTGGTCAAATCATTAATTTTCTGAAGAAGAAATCCTGACAACTTGAGCTTATCTCCAGCTAGCTTTCCCTCTTCTCTCTCTCCCTGTTTCTTCCTCCATTTCCAAAACTACTAAAAAGTTTTATTTCAACAAGTACTAAAGAGACATTCAACAAATAAAAGTATTGTTGGTTTATTTCAACAAAACTTATCACATGTACTTCCCAGAAAGTACACTGACCCACAATATGTATACATGTTATCTACGCAATGCAAGTAGAGCTCTAACAGATCTGTGATAACATAGCTACCTTTACTCATTTCTGTCTTCCAGAATCAGACTTGTTATTGCAACATTCATTTTGAAAAACACATGGGAAAAATGATTCCTCAAAAGTGTTTGCAGGTTTTAGCTATACTGTATACTTACTTTTTTAACACTGTTAAGCTACTTCCGAGTATGAGACCTGGGTTCTACTCTGGTTATGTACTGCTTCCAAAACTGTTGAACAAGTCTCAGGTCTAGCCTCAAAATCTTATTTCGCTAGTTCCCTTGAACCAAGGCAAAGCAAGATGAAGATGAAGATGGCACTTTTTTTTGGGTTTTTTTGGTTTTTTTTTTGTTTTTTTTTTTTGTGGAAAGGAACAAATGATAGCGACACGTATGTAAAATTCTATTACTGCTGGTGCCATCTCTCCCCAGTGCAAATGGGGATAGGCACGATGACACTAAGATGATCACAAGAGAGTGGCTGGAGGGACCTGTTACAAAACATGATTTTCTTCAGTGCTCAAACTTGAATGCAATGGAGAGTAGTACATGACTCACAGAACATGTTCAGTAACAACAACAATTCAATCTTAATGGAACGAATCATAGAGATGTTTTGCAGAGCTGGCAGTTAATAAATCCACCTTGCAAAAAGAGCACATCCACAGTGTTGCAAGAATTTGATCAAGCAACACTTGATGCTTACACTGGTCCTTATAAAACATAACAAGCTTTAACAGCAACAAAGTTCTAAGTTTTGGCAGCCCTAGCTACGTAAGTGCTTTGATAAATTACCAACCCAGTTAAAGTAAATTGCAAGCATCAAGGAATACAACTTTAAATGCATTCTAAAGCATATAATCAGTTCTGTTACAGCTGCTTTCCCCTAGCACTTCAAGGAATCACTGAGGTTAAAGCCAGAAAGTAATATCAGATCATCTAGCCCAGCCCTTCATTTTAACCCACTTCCCTAAAAAAAACCCAGCAACATGAATTGGATGACAGCATCCAGAAAGTTGTCCAGCATTGGTTTTAGAAATCAAGAAGTGAAATCTCCCCTGGATCACTTGTTCCAAATCTACTCTACCATCTACAAAAAAAAAAGGTATCCTTCTTGATTTTGAAAGCAGCTTCAATTTCTAGTCACTAATTTCTAGTCTGCATTTCTGAGTTATTAAAAATGCCTCAATGAGGAAGAAATACCATGTTTTCAAGGTTTTGTTTTCTTTAACATACTGTAACAATGTTTTTAAAAGCCCAAAAGATGGAGATGTATCAGGACCATCTAAAAAGAATGAGCTTTCATTCTGAAGGACTAGAATCCTTCCTGTGACACCCTTCTGCAACCTTTCCAGCTCTTCAAGAAATCTTTAATATAGTGAACATCCATATGCTTCATTCCAATGTAAGTCTCATTAAACTCATATGCAGGAGTAAAAGCAACCTACTTTATGGCTTCTCACTTTCCACTCCACGAACACATTCGACAGTGCTGGCAACTACTTTTGGAGAAATGGTCAGTTAGTTATATCTCAGTTTGTATAATCCGTGAGGTACTCTTCTGTAACGCTGACTTTTTTCTAGTGTGCTACCAAGCCAATCCCCTTTACAAAAGCCTGTTGCAGCTTCAGATTTTCTCTTACCAACCAAATTTATCATCTTGTTAACAGCATTAAACCAACCTTGCTTGAAAACAAGTCAAAATCCATTCTCCATAAGTTCAGGGTTGTCAGCTTGCTTTTACTTTCCTCCCTCCCCTCAGGATCCTGAACTCCACCATCTCATGGTCACTGCAGCCACAGCTGCCTTTGACCTTCACATTCCTTCACATTGTTGGTGAGAATGAGGGTAGAGCAAAACACCTCTCCTTGTTGGCTCCTCTATCACTTGGAGGAGGAAGAAGTTGTCAATGAACTCAAGGAACCTCCCAGATTGCTTAGTCCTGCTGTGCTGCCCCTCCAGCATGTATGAGGCCCATGAGGGCCAGGGCCTACAAACATGAGGCTGCTCCTATCTGTCTGTAGAGGACCTCATCTGTTTGTTCTTCCTGGTCAGGTGGCCTGTAGCAGATGCCCACTATAATGTCACCTTTACCTGTCCTCTCTTTAATCCTAATCCAGAAACTCTCAGTTGGCTCCTTATTCATCCCCAGGCAAAGCTCCATGCACTCCAAATGCTCTCTCACATAAAGGGCAACAACCATTCCTCATCTTCCCAGTCTGTACTTCCTAAACAGCTGGCATCCCTTCATTACATCACTCCAGTCACAGGAGCCATCCCACCACATCTCCGTGATCCTTACAAGATGGTTATGTGTATGTCATATTTCATATTACGTTACTGAAAGCTCCAAATTTTCTGGCCCCTCATTAGCAAGTTCACTGCCTCATTAATAAACATAGCCAAGATTTCAATTATTCTTAAAAGCTGAAGTTCTTATTTCCTTGCCAACAATGGAGTCCCCCTGCCTCCAAGCTCTTCCTTTCACATCATAACTTCTCATTTAATTTTAAAGACACTTAAAATTTCAGTGCTGGAAGAAAAGTTCATCTAGATCTAAGACTCCTTATTTTTTATAATCCAAACAATCACAAAACCAAATTCTATCTAAAAACTAGCCACTGTTTCAGCAAAGCCCCCCAGTATTTATTAGCAATATATACTTATCTTATTCAGTCATTATTCAAAATCTTCCCATGCTACTTTCTCTCGTCTCTTAGAAGAGTTTCCTGTTGCATGCTTTGTTTTTCCTGATAACCTACATGTGCTACCTTGAAGTCAGATAGGCACCATAGGTATTTGTATTCATTTTCAACGTTAACATGTGAATCATGAATTACAAACTGAGCAGTTTTGT